AACCGAAATATATAATTTTTCTGACATGTCTAGAAAAGAAATCACAATTAATCACACTACCTTCTTATCCAAATTTTGAGGGTTTTTTTTTTAATTCTCATTAATATTAGATTTAACAGAATATTGACATGTTGATACATTTCAAGTTCATTTATTTGGCTGGAAATGTATTATATTTTGTTTTTTTTTACGTAAACACAAGACATTTTTCAAGGCGCTTCAGTCATATATATTTGGGGTATAGCAAAGATATATACCATCCCTATGTTGTGATGGAACCTGGTGTGTAAGAGGGAACATTGCCACATTTGTAAATACTGGCGACCTCTACCACATAACAAACTTGATTATCACTAGAGTACTAAAAAGCAAGACATTCTAGGTTTGACTGCAAAAGAAACATGAAGTATCCAAGGAGGAAACTAAAACAATTTCAACTTACTTTCTTTACTATAGTCAGTGTGTAAATACTTTCCCACAGTGCCTAATCTTGTTAATATAAAATAAAAAATAAGGAATTGATAAATGTACATTTATCTTGCTAAAATAAGCATTATAAATGCAGTGAGCACTCAAGAAATGTAGGTAAACCTTAAAGCGTCTCTTACACAATTTAAATTATGCTTAACAAGTGATTGTTAAAACCATAATCAGTCCAGACTGTTTTAAAATGCCTTATTCCTTTTTGTTTCCACGACTTACTTTATTTTCATACAGCTGTGTAAAATTCTACCTCAAATGGATGAGTGAGTGTTGATTTATTTGAACACATATGTTTTGAGACCCCCCTGGGGGAAAAGAGTGAAGCCTGGCACCGTATTACTGTGCTTCCGAAAATATTCAGTTGTGAAATGGTAATATCTTTAGAAGTTTCTGCAAGGAATTAATGCTTTGGCAGTGATGTGTATAATGCAGAAGCTTCTTCCCATTCGGTCTCATGGTCAGATGGAAAATGTCCACGTGATTTTCTTGTTGGACATAAGGGTTATTGTGGGACTTGCTATGTTTCTTACCTTACTGAAACGTTCATCTAATCAGAAAATGTTTTACTATAACTCACCGAGAGTATGTCATAATTTCATTAAAGGTTTTTACTGAGAAAGGTCAGGAGTTTAAGACTAAATAAAATACACAGGCACATGAGTACTACTTTAAAAAATATTTTCATGGCAAGGGAAAAAAAACCCTCCCTTAATTCATCTCTGGTTACTGAAAGGTTGGCACAGTTATCTTCTTCTGTGTTGAAGGTTTAAATAGCTCTCCGCAGCATTTCATAAATTTAAACTTGAATTGAAAAGCTTTTCTTGTCTCCAAAAGAAAAATAGTCACATATTACTTACATGGTAATTACAGGCTATGCAGCTGCCCTACAAAGCTTTACTATAAATGCGTTAAGCATGAACCACTACACAAACCTTATTCAAATTTCATTAAATGTTAAGCCAAAGAAATGTCATCCCCCACGCCAATTGCTTATGCAAGAACAATGGCCATCTCCCTAGTCTCAGACCTAAATAGTGTAATAGAATCAATGTTGTTGATTTAGCCCACGGTTGCCTAAAAGTCATTACTGTTATCTTTCACCAAGTCTCTATTGTAGACTTTCTCCCTCATTATGCAAAAGTGAAGCTTATGCTAATGTGTAGAAATCTAGAGATGAATAAGCTTCTTTGAAATATCATTTGAAGATGGAAAATTCAAGAAAAAAAAGTATATGCTTCTCTTACGATAAAAATACTGACCTCAATTTCTGTGTTGCACTGATCCCTGCTTTAAGCCTTTCTAACATAACAATTTAAAGCTTACACAGCACTTCCATTTGCCTAATACTTCAAAAATATTTAGCTGGTTACACAAAGTACTGCAGCAGTATCATGCCAGTAGCAGGAAAATAAAGACTGAAGCTATAAAAAAAAAAAAAAAAAAAGACTGAAGCTATAAAAATGGTTTAAAGGGAGTGAGCAAAGGTAAGATGTCTCAAAATTATAATCTTGTTTTTAAAGGCCTTAATATCATACCCTCTAAAAATGTACTTTGAATACTGTCGTCTGCTATGCATGCATTATTTAAACTTTGAAGCAAATGAATTTGACCAGATATGAAGAATAGTTGAGCACCTAAAGTTGTCAGGTTTACAACTACACTAATCAACTGGGAAAAATCAAACTGGTCTTGGTCTTGATTAAGTTTTAGGTTACCTTGATTCAGAAACATATACATGCTAAAATGTAACACACTCTTACAACTTTCTATTATTCAATTTGACCTTGTTTCATGTTTAAAAGATGACAAGGTCACCAGTGGTGTTAGGTGAATATCATATACGTGTGTCATTACAAAAGTTTGGAGATACACAAAAATCAAAAAACGGTAAAATCCATGTGGATGGACACAACTGAAACCTTCCCAGAAACACCAATAAGCCAGTTGAAACTTGCAAGGGTAAATCAGAAAGGACGCTGCTGACTGTGTTTCTTGGAAGTGAAATAATGGACTACAACACAGTTTGTATCAAAACTTTTTTTTTTTTTTGAGACAGAGCCTCAGGCTGTCCCCCTGGATAGAGTGCCATGGCATCACAGCTCACAGCAACCTCCAACTCATGGGATCAAGTGAGTCTCCTGCCTCCGCCTCCCAAGTAGCTGGGACAACAGACGCCCACCACAACGCCTGACTATTTTTTGGTTGCAGCTGTCATTGTTGTTTGGCAGGCACAGGCTGTATTCGAACCTGCCACCTTAGGTATATGTGCCTGGCACCTTAGCCACTTGAGCCACAAGCACAGAACCTTATCAAAACCTTTGAGAAGTGACCCACCTACCCCTGATATTATGCAATGAGTTCCTGTCAGGTCTGTGACAGAAAACCCATAAACTCAGTCTAATATGAGGAAACATTAGATTCACTCAAGTTTGGGTGGCATTCCACAGCACACATAACCAGTCCTTCTCTTCAAGATGATTAAGGTCATGAACACTAGAAAATGCTAAGAACCTGTCTCACACCAGACATTGGGATGACATGATAACAAAATGCAAAAGCCAAGCACCTACAATCCCCAACTAAATAAATACCCTGGATTGGATCCTGGAGCAGAAGGAAGATATTTATGAAAGACTGGTGAAATAAAAAAAAACCTTTAATTATTTAAACATCATTTAATTATTACATATCAACATCTGTTCATTAAGCATGACAGATATTTCATTGTCTTGTAAAATGTTTGCAGCAAGGAAAAGTAGGTACAGGGTGTGCAGGAATTCTTTGTACTAACTTTATAATACTCTCATAAATTTCAAATTATTCCATAATTAAAGGTATTCTTTTAAATGGACACAGATACATACTCCCAGTAATTTGTACTCAACTAATATACATAATAAGTTTTAATACATAATTAATTTCCTATTCTTCCATTAACATTTAAAAATTATCTACTATATGCTCTTAAATTTGAAGAAAGTTATTGACTATACATTAAGGATGGACACCAACAACTTAATTCTATAAATTCTCCTTGATATTTAACCTGCTTTTCCACTGTCAAGGCACACGGGACCTCACATTTGCAAACCCAAGTAGATGTCTTGCATTAAAATGATGAAGGAAGCACTATAAAGGCTGAAAAACTAACTCAACTAACATGTTCACTTGTTTTATTTCTATGGATTGTAAAGGCTCTCTCCCTGACTATTTGAAATGTTGGGTCATCTGAAGTCAATGTTGTTGATGGCATGACTTTGGAATGAAAGTAGAGTATCATCAAACTAGGGAAATATAAAACTGAGATTTTGAAATGAGCATATAAATTCAGGACAGTAAGGATAATGATGAAGCACACAGCAGTATATGCCCTCTGGGGAAGCAGGCTTAATTTCACTCAGTTAAGTGAAACCTATTTTTTTTTTTTTGAAGCGAAATTAGAAAAAAAGCAGGGGGTATAATTTTATGTAGACAACAGTTAGAGTAGGCATGATGGCTGTAAAGTAAGCAGGTAGGATGAGGACTGCAAAATAAAGATACAACTGCTCATTGTATTAACCAGGGCGCCTATGCTCAGTGGTTAGGGCGCTGGCCACAGGCTCTGGGGCTGTGGGTTTGAACACAGCTAGGACCTGCTAAACAACAAAAACAAAAACAAAATAGCCGGTATGGTGGCACAAGTAGTCTCAGCTACTAGGGTGGCTGAAGCAAGAGAATCGCTTGAACCCAAGAATTTGAGGTTGCTGCGGCGAGCTGTGAAGGCACTCTACCCAGAGTGATGAAGTGATACCCTATCTCAATTAAAAAGAAAGAAAGAAAAAAAGAAAGAAACACCAAAAATCACTTGCATTATTTTTTTAAATCTTAAAAGACAGGAAAATTTAAACAAAAATATGTTGAAATCATTTTTATAAACAAAGACAAGTATTTGGGATATGGTACAGAATTGAGAGATTGGTTTTAGGGTTTGGTGATAAGAAGAATAGGAAAGAGATGGAAGTGAAGGTCCCCATGAATATCCAGAAAGTGAGGGGGGGTCCCCAAATGACAAATCCCACTTGGTGCCTTTTCAGCATGGGGCTCGATAATCTTTCCTTTCCTCTTCTAGATCCTAACATCGGCGATACTCAGCAGCTTCTTTCCAGTGATGCTTTGAATAATGAAGACAGACAAATGGTGCCCAGTTGGATAAAGCACTGTGGGAGCAGGGCAGATGGTCAAGTAGGACCATCCCACAAAAGGGTCAGAAGGAAGCACCTCAGGAATCCGAGGTGTCTGGGAACAATGGATGGAGTGAAGGAAGGCTTAGGCATCAATGTGAAGATTCATCGGAAAGTGACATCAAACGCCTGGGAAACTTTCATGCACGCAGCAGATATGTGGCTTGCGTGTATAACTATCATAGGTGTGAAAATGATACCCCAGGACACAAGACTGTTCGGTAGTGGAGTTTTGACTGTCTTTTCCTTAGTTACTCATCGGTCTCAAACGCGTTTCCATCTCTATGATGTTCTTACCTTCCTCTTGGCAAGTCCGCATCATCTTTCTTCCATCTCACAGTTGGTTGAGGGTCTCCCTGGACCTGACAGCGAAATTCTACAGCTTCCTCCTCCAGCACCACCTGGTTAATTGGCCTCCTGAGAAACGTGGGTCGTTCTGGGGGTGGGGGGAAGAAAAAAAACAGCAATGTAAAATGAGAGGAACGGTTTTGCCTGTTTTTAGTAAATTATGGGAAAACAAAAGAAACCTAGTTTATCTGTGGCATCACCTAAACCTGCATGCATGTCAACTAGGTCTTGGTAAGGTCTTATCAATCTAAAATAATTCAATAAAATGACATTTTATTTATTTATTTAAACACTTTTTTTTTTTTTTTTTTTGGAGACAGAGTCTCACTCTGTCACCTTGGGTAGAGTGCTGTGGCATCATCATAGCTCACAGCAATCTCAAACTCTTTGACTCAAGAATTTCTCTTCCCTCTGCCTCCCAAGTAGCTGAGACTATAGGTGCCCATCATAACACCTGGCTAGTTTTTATATTTTTATTAGAGAGGGGTTCTTGCTCATAATCAGGCTGGTCTTGAACTCCTGAGCTCAAACAATCCATCTGCTTCGGCTTCATAGAGTGCTAGGATTACAGGTATGAGCCTGTGTGCCAGCCAAAATAAAATATTTTGGAACACAGGAATAGCTATGGTTTATAAATAAGACCATACAGACCTGCATAAAAAATATTAAATTGATTTTTCCATGAATTCCTTAACTAAGTGGATAGGTGGATCCTATCATAAAAAAATCAGAACACAATTCTACAGAAACACACAGATATGAAAGAAATAATCTATTATCATCTTTTAGAGTGGGGAAATTAAAAGTTGAAATGAATGGAAAATATGGCAACAGGAAATATATCAATAATCCTCAAGAATGCCAGCAGGGCATGGTGGCTCACACCTATAATCTTAGCACTCTGGGAAGCCGAGGAGGGTAGATCACTTGAGCTCACAAGTTTGAGACCAGCCTGAGCAAGAGCCAGTCCCTATCTCTAAAAATTAGCTGGGCACTGGGGCAGGCACCTGTAGTCCCAGCTACTCAGGATGGTGAGACAAGAGGATTGCTTGAGCCCAGGAGTTTGAGGTTACTGTGAGTTGTGACGCCACAACACTCTAATGAGGGTGACAAAGTCAGACTCTGTCTCAAAAGAGGAAAAAAGAATACTAGAGGAAACCAAAAATGTGCCATTACACATGTTCTCTAAAGCTTCAACTTAAGCTGCTTTTTGACAATGACTCAATACTCTCATGAATATTTTCACCTCTCTATGGAAAGTTACCTACCTGATTTTTTTTCTAAAGTACAAAGACTGCCATTATTAATTATTGTAAACTGTTTACAGTCATAGAGAATGTTCTAAGGCTTTTTCAGCGGCTTCCTCCTAACTGTATAAGACATTTACCCATTTTTACCCTATGTAACTTTAGTTTTTTTACTTTTGTCAGTATCCTGTTGTAGTGTATTAATCGGTATCTTGCACTGTTAAATCGTATTCTAACATTCTTCTATATAAAAGTAGAAAGTAAATATCTACCAACAAAAATTTTACCATCTAAGAAAAATACAAAGCAAAAAGGAGTTTTCTGTATCTCCAAATGGTTGCATTGTCGTACAGTTTCCTGTTTTTGGAGAATGGTCTGACCCTGGAATTATTATCATTTAAAGTTTGTTAGCACATGTCTCCAAATCATAGGTAAGTTTAGTATCACTCCTTATTGAGGTAGAAATGGGACTGACTGAAGGAAGAGAAACATGAAATCTGCAGGAAGCTGACAGACTTTATCTGGCCATCTGGACATATTTAACCTCTTAGGACTTTAGTTTCAAACTTTTTAATGTAGAATTTGAAACAGAGTGGCACAAAAACTAAAATGCATTTTACAGGAAATTGTCAAAAAAATAAATGACTTCAAATAACTTATGCATAGTGAGTATATGATTTTATTGACTAAATCAAGATCTAAGTTGGAGAAGAAATGTGTAAGTTGCACAAGAAATGTTTTCTTGCAATAGAGCCAGCTATCATGGGCAGATAGAGGGAAGACAAGTGTATCTCTCCAGAGAATGTGACAGTAGGGATAGAATTTTTTTTTTTTTTTCAAGCCCAGACCTGCATGTGTTCCAGTATCTGGATGGTGGGAATCCAAAATCACAAGCCGTAAAGCAATAAAAATAGGATTTTATCATGGAAAGTTATTTTTCATGCAGAATTTATAAACAATTCATTCAAAACTAAAGACAAGTATGATTTCTTCTAAAGATTTTAGGCAGCCAGAATTAATTAGCAGCCAAGTGTGGCCCCTACACAACAGAGCAGATTTGCACATTGGACGGGATGATTTAATGTTATTCTTCGGCGTTGTGGATACTATTTGCCCTAAACAGCTATTTCAGGGCTGGTGTAGTTGATACTGAGCTATCTTTTTGGGAGCAAATAGGCAATAGAATAAGTGTATTCTTATGAGTGTGCCACATGCTTGTAATAAAAATGAATCATTAGTATAGGAAGCAGAATTCACTTGTTCTATGCTATTGCACAGGGCTATTCATCCAATTCATGCAAAAACTGCATTAACTCAATGCTAAAGAGGCTTAAGCCACTATTGATATCACTCAAGATTGAAAAATGTCAGGAGAAAACCCTTCCTGCTCCCTCTGATTTTGACAGGAGTATTGTAGTATAACCTAAAATAGGGATGAACAAGTTAGAGAGATCACCCTTTCATCCACTCATTCATTCAGAACATGGTAACAGCCTCTCCCGCAGGCCTAGAGCTCAGTGGCCAATATGACGAATAGCCAGCAGCATGGTTTCATGGAGGAAATGGATGGGAGACCAAGTGGGGCAGATGGTGATTAGCAAGACCTAAGGCCTTGTCCTCTACGCCAGGCAATGTGAGCCGTGCCCTGAGAGTTATAGGGAGCTGTGAAAGAACTTTGAGCAAGAGAGCAACATTTTTAATTAGCTTATGAAAAAGATCCTTTTTCCGGTTCTGTGAAAGATAAACTAGAAGAGAAATATAGAGCAATGAATTAGGTCAGAGTGTTATAAGAAATTACTTCAGCTTTAAGTCATACACTGGCTCTAAAAATATAGAAAAGAAATAGATTTAAGAGGTATCAAAACTGGGACTTAGATGTGGAGGGAGAAAAAGAAAACCTAGAAAGATTCTCAAATTTCATTTAACAAATTGAAGCAGAATGGCAGGTAAAACGTGAATATTATGTGTGCATACACATGTATGTGTTTTTGTGTGTGTGAACATGTGTGTGTAAGACACTTTCATTGTAGAAACAGGGGGTATGACAAAAATGAACTTCTTATGCTTAAGCCATTGTTAGCTTTCTATTACTTGAAGTCAGATTAATTCTAAGTGACATATAGGAAGCTACTTCTATAAAAGAAGGGGAAAGGAAATATATCTGCTCATCTCTGTATATACACATACACTTTTCAGTAAAAAAAAAGTTTAAATAAAGAAGAAATCAAAAGAAACTTGTTAAACCGTCTGTGGATATTTGTGAGAAATTAAACACCAAAATGCTTTTTAAAAGTAAAATACAAAAAAAATTCCTAGTAAAGTCAGAACAAGACAGACATGCCAACATTAGCAATCAGTAGTAGAATGAAAGTGTAAGATTGGAAGAACCAAAATAATCATGAAAAGCACCTAATCTATAATACATGATGATACAGAATAATCACTTTGATAATTCATAATTTTCAAAGCAAATAAAATAATAAATATACAGGATCATTACAGAAATGCTGGCTGCATTGGGAAATATGGCATTTTAGGATAAATTGTTGTAACTCATATATCAAAAAATTAAGTTATTGGAATATTAAACCTGTTTACTTATCTAATATGGAAAGTTTCTGTGACATTATTACTGGGTATAGAATAATTTCAAAACATATAACACTAGTTCCATTAAAATACATATGTATATTCCAGGCAAAGTTTTGGCATGCTTTGCTTGATATGCTACTGGTCACAAAATTGTACATGTAATTGCTCTGAAAGGCACACGTGACATTAGACATGCCACACATCTCAGCCATCTCTTCTTACAGGGAATACTATCAGGATCCTTATAATTTTTTGGTTATCATACATGTTCTAAGCCCCATTTTTTGTAAGGAGACATGTGGAAGTATTTGGTTTACAACTTGAAGCAGAAGCAAAATATACAATCCCCCCGATGCTGTTCTAATGAACTCAGCAGGATTGCAGAACTTGACAATGAACTTTTCCTTCTTGCCTTCTGCCCTCAAGCAGAATCTAGTTGCTTAGCAACTAGATAACCACTAGATTACCAACTGATAACTAGATTACCAGCTGATAATGTGGTATACAATTTTTGGAAGCCTGGCATTGGCTCATCCTATACAAAATATAATTCAATTGAGAGAAAAAAATGGATGCAAAGAATAGCAGAAATGGAAACAATAAGACCTATCGTGATGAGTTTTATGCTTAATTATCTGAGGTTTTGCTGTCCAACTAAGTAACATGGGAATTTGCTGAGACATTGGAGTTTGGACACAAATTATAAAATATTAGTCTGAGAATTTCCATAGCATATTTTTCAGCAATTATCTCTAAATTGCATAATTCATTATTCCAACTGCTTTCTGTTAATTATACTAAAATCACCTTCTGCTTTGTAATTTTGATAATTGCCTGCAGAAAACAATATGATAAAAACTGTAGATCAACCTAAAGTTTATTTAAATGGATGAATTATTTTGTAAAAAATGTTTTCAATTTCCTTAACCAAACTTTATTTCCAGAAAAATCTGATAATCAGAAACATAAATACTTAATACTAAAGATGCTGGGGGCGGCGCCTGTGGTTCAAAGGAGTAGGGCGCTGGCCCCATATACTGGAGGTGGTGGGTTCAAACCCGGCCCCGGCCAAAAACTGCAAAAAAAAAAAAAATAATAATAAAATAAAATAAAATAAAACATAAAGATTTTGGACAGGCTGAAAACACATTTTTAAGTGCTTTCCATTAGCAGTGGCTACTGTTATTATAAGCCAAATACAAAGCTAAATTCCTTTCAGACCCTAATCACAAAAATTACAAGGGAGGGT